ACCCGCCAACAGCTTAACCCTGACACCTGCTCCCACAATGCAAATGTTTGCATTTCCAGGTTCCCTCTCCGAGGCTGGGCTGACCCAGGTGTCCTCACTCCCAGCATCTTCATGCAGCTCAAACACACTCACCTGCCCTCAGAGCATCGGCTTTCATATCAATGGCAAAAAGTCTATTCCCCACAGAATCCAGGGAGCCCTCCACCTATGTTCTGAGATTCTGCTTAGACTAAAATGAGTACCAGGCCTCTGGGGTCCCCAGACAATTCTCTGGGTTGAGAGGCTCAAGTTCTTTGGTCCTCTCTGGTCTTCACCTTGAGGATGGGGCTGATGACCTCTCTCAGATGGGCTGACAGGGCATGGCTTACACTGTGCTCTAGGCCAGTGGTAAAATCCCCTCTGCTTGTGCTGCCTGGGCTCCCACTAGGCCCCTGCTGTTTTTGACAACAGCCAGCACTGGTGGTGACAGCTTCAGCCATGTATGCCCCACGGTGAGAGTCTGCAGCCCTTCCACACAATTATCACTTGCAGAATGTCTGCATCATTGCTAATAGCACATTCTGAGCCTCCTCACGTTTATGTGGGCAACAATTTTGTTTCCAAGACATGCACATGATACAGGAGGTTTATTTACCAGATAAATTTGTTAGGAATCCAATTATAATTAGAAGATATTCATCAGTGATCGGGGGAAATATCTGGTATAATTAAAATAGAATTTGGTGAAAATATAAAGAAGTAAATAATGAAGATGTGGGCAGAGAGTCTGGAAACCCCAAGGGAGATGGAAAACCATGACCAGCAACGGTGGGGTTGGTGATGTCCCTGCAGGGTGGCAGGCATAGAGTAGGGGAGGCAGAAGCCAGCTGTGGATTCTTCCAGGCTGTGACGACTCCTCGTGAGGGCAGCTGGGGCGTAAGCAGTCCAACCACACCCGCCTCCCTTCCTCAGCGTGGGAAAAGGCATCAGAAGAAGCCTGACCTTCCTGGCGTGCTCAGCTGTGTCAGTCAATAAAGTAGAGGGTTGTGATTCTATGGCCATTAGGGGCCTCTGTGGGTCTGACAAGAGAGAAGTTTCCCAGGAGGCAACCGGCTGAGCCTGCTGTCTTGGGACTGGCTGCAATTACTCCATGAGTGTGTGACTGTCCTGTAGCTGGAACTGCTCTAGTCCTATAGGAATGATAAAAGTTATTTCTTCCTTTTCCACCCCAAATGGAAGTCCTCTCCAAGGAAGAGTCCAACCCTCAATCACAGCACAGGTCAGAACTGGAAAGAGAGCATGGCAGCAACACATTTGCAGGAGGGGATTCAACTGCACAAAGATGAAGAGAAAGGGTAGAAAAGACCCAGGCATCCCCAGGCCACACTGTGGACCCCAGGAAGCTGTGCTGGGCATCCCCGCATGGATCCATGTGTATTCACTGGTAATATACAATCCACATGAGAACGCTGCCTGCTAGGTTCTGGCCCTCACATGCAATGAGATTGTTGATGCCCCCTCACCCCATGGAGAATTCCCGACCTGCCACCTGCTTCTATTCTGAACTGACAAGCAGCAGCAACAGCAGCAACAAAGTCAGCACAGTTTAGGTCTCTGCCAGTAGCGACCACAACATTGGGAAGGGAAAGTGGGGACAGAGATCTGTGACTAAGAGGGGTGCTGTGAAGTGTGCTGTGAAGGTGAGGGGTGTTGGACGGTTTCACATTGGAAGTCACATGAGGATGACAGATGGCAGGTGTGTGAGCGCAGAGGCTTCACGGAACTGGAACTGGACTGTGCTGTGACCCGATCATTCTCCCCATGGGTTCTCTGTGCCCATCCAGTGCCTCACAGTCTCAGGCATTCACTCCACCGGCTTCTGCAGATGCCTGGGGCCTCCCCTGGAGGGCAGGTCTTTCTATGCAGATCCCAGGTGATCCAGACCAAGCTGTCCTTCCTTCTGCCACGGATGCTCCTCCTTCCCCTGCTCCTCCTCATGTTGCCTTTTCAACCTCTCCAGGGGACCCCAAACCTCAGAGCTCCTGTCCCTCAGGGCATTTACCAGCTCCTCCCAGCCCTAATACCCTGTCATTTTCAGGCACATGAAGAGCATCCTGACATCACCAACCCCACTGTTGCTGGTCATGGTTTTCCATCTCCCCTGGGGGTTCCAGACTCTGCCCACATCTTCCTAATTTAGTTCTTATATTTTCATCAAATTCTATTTTAATTATACCAGATATTTCCATACCCTGATCACTGATGAATATCTTCTAATTATAATTTGGTTCCTAACAAACTTATTTGGTAAACAAATCTCCTGTATCATGTGCACATCTTGGGAAGGAACGTGAGGAGGCTCAGAATGTGCTATTATCAATGATGCAGACATTCTGCAAGTGATCAGTTTCCCAGTCACAGCCCTGCCCTGCACCACACTCCTCCATGCACCTCTGAATGCATTTTGTTTTTCTTTTTTGTCTTTGCTTCTCCTCTCACACCTACCTAAGTGTCACACTGTCTTTGTCCAGAACCAGGATGCAGAGCCTTGGCTCACTTCTGTGCAATGAACACAGGGAATGGATAACAGTCACTTACGGAGAAGGGGCCCCTTCCAAGGTAATCAATGTGTGGTGTTTCGTGTTCCTCCTCCCAAATGTCCTCATTCCATTCCTCACTTATGCAAAGGGGTCAGATTTGAGGTAGACACAAAACGAGGAAGGGACTCATGCTCTACGATGGCCTTCATATCTGAGAAGCCTCCTTGGCAGTGCTTGTTTCTTCACAGCATAAACCATACTCTGATGAATGAATATAGACTTTTATCCTAAAATATGTCTTCATTTCTTTGCCATGTGCCATTTTAGGCATTAATCACCTTTTAAGGTACCCTTCCTATATCTGAAAAGCGCACACTTTATGAATCTCTGAGTCTTCCTGCAGAAGCTCAAGGTCTGATATTTTCCGGGAACATGTAAATATGTCATTGAAAATATTTCAGTAAAGGAGCAGATAATCCCATAAAACAATTAAAAATATGTGGAGATAATATGAGAACACAATCGCAGATGTCAGGTGTAATAAAAGAAAACTTGAAGAAAAGTAAAGCTGGTAATCTTGGTCCTCCTCCACAAATTCCCCAAATGTACAAGTTTGGGGGGAAATGTTGGAAAAGTTCTCTTTGATGTCCTTGATCATGGACATCATGTCGTGGCCATGGAAAGAGGAATAAAAGTCAATTGGAGGGAGAATGAGGAAGGAGGTATTGTAGGTTAGAGGAGAAAGTGTGAAGTTGTTAACAATCAAAGTGGCCCTGAGTGTGTGAGAACATATTGCCCACGCCCAGGTGACACTACCCGTGACACAGCACCGTCCTCATTACTAATGCACCCATGGTATGACCACAACAATGGTCTGAGGGCAGAGTCCCCTCAGTGATCTTCATATGACTTTGTCACCTGCCATCAAGCAGAGGTAGTAGCTTTTAAAATACACTTTTCACTCATACTTGCATTATGTGTTGAATACATAAATTACCGTTTCCTCAATTGTAAAATGAGTGTTAGTGCCTTTGTATCCCCTTAAAGTAGCAGCTGTTCTTATAGCTCCACGTTATTTATTTAATGCATCATTCCCACACAGTTCCCCATGATGGCACAGCCTGCTGCTCAAGCATTGCAGAGTTTCCTTGCATGTTGACATCTGCATCACTACCTGGCACCTGGCTTTCCAAAGCAGAGAAACTAACGCTCATCACAGGATCCTAAGCAGGTCCTAGAAAATATCTCCTATGAGAGCAGCATAACATCCAACTTCTCCACAAATAAGAACTTCAAAGTTATATTCTTTCTTTCTTTCTTTTTTTTTCTTTTTTTTGAGAGGGAGTCTCGCTCTGTCTCCCAGGCTGGAGTGCAATGGCACGATCTCTGCTCACTGCAAACTCTGCCTCCCGGGTTTACGCCGTTCTCCTGCCTCAGCCTCCCAAGTAGCTGGGACTACAGGCACCCGCCAATACTCCCGGCTAATTTTTGTATTTTTAGTAGCGACGAGGTTTCACCATATTAGCCAGGATGGTCTCGATCTCCTGACCTCGTGATTTGCCTGCCTCAGCCTCCCAAAGTGCTGGGATTACAGGCGTGAGCCACCGCACCTGGCCTATATTCACTTTTTTAAACCTTACCCAGAAAGCCAATCCATCACCAGATGTAGAGATTCTCTCCAAGCCTCCTTCAAAACTACCTGGTCTATTGACTTTCTCTTCTACCTTCATGAAACTTACTGATTAAGGGCTCTAATGAAATTTTCCCCTGACTGACACCTGGGCCCACCCCTCTCTGTGTCCTCAGAGTCTTTCTGCTTCCCTGGTGTCTCTGATGGTGAAATCTGACCCCTGGTCCCAGGGTTCCTCCCTCTTCCTGCCTGAAGGGCTGGGTCTCCTCTCAGTGAAGGGCCCATGACCTCACCCTATGTGGTTCTTCCTGGGAAAAGCAGAGACCTTGCCTCTGTTTCCTTCAAACCGAGCCCGTTTTCCCTGATACTCATCACCTCCAACAACACAAAGTGAATCTCAATGTCTTAACCAGAGTGCTGGGTCTACTGGGTTTTCGCTCATCTGAACAGGTTTGAAAGTTTAAAAGAACAGTCAGCACTGGATGCTGAGCAGAGACCCCCTGGACAGCGGCTAGAATTGTGAGGCTTTCAGGACGGAAGAACAGGGAGCCTGGGCACCAGCACCTGCCCAGGGTCAACGTGACTTACGCATCCATCAGAGGGCGCTGTGGTTCAAGCCCTGCTCAGGCTCCCCAGCTCCTCAGCTGTTTTCCTGGGACCTGCAGGTGTTCTGTGCCCTCCACGGGGTGTAGCCCCTTCTCCTTGAATAGCCTCTTCATTTCTCAGCCAGAGCCAGTCTGAAGTCAAAGGAGGGGCTTGTGCAGGTTCCAGAAAAGGAGACATTTGCATGGAGACCTCCCACCTTGAGCATTACAGTGAAAGATAAGAAGGGCTGGTGGCTCCTTCCTGGCTGTGGCTCAGAAAGCAGAGCCTGGGGTGTCTCCACCATGGCCTGGGCTCCACTCCTCCTCACCCTCCTCGCTCACTGCACAGGTGGCTGCCCGCAGGGAATTCAGGGAGGGCTCCTGGATGTCACCTGGGATGATGACCTCTGCCTTCTCCCTGGGAACCTACCCTGATCTGACCTCACTGATCTCTGTGTTGCTCCTCCTTGCAGGGTCTTGGGCTGAGGTTGTGTTCACTCAGCCCCATTCTGTGTCGGGGTCTCCGGGGCAGACGGTCACCATCTCCTGTACCCGCAGCAGTGGCAGCATTGACAGTAAATATGTGCAGTGGTACCAGCAGCGCCCGGGCAGTGCCCCCACCACAGTGATTTACGAAGATAACAAAAGACCCTCTGGGGTCCCTGATCGGTTCTCTGGCTCCATCGACAGCTCCTCCAACTCTGCCTCCCTCACCATCTCTGGGCTGAAGTCTGAGGACGAGGCTGACTACTACTGTCAGTCTGCTGATGGCAGCTACACTGCCACAGTACTCCAGACCCATGGGGAAGTGAGACAAGAACTCCCCAGAGCATCCCCACCCTGGGTCAGCCTCAGCACAAAGAGTGTGCCGGTTGCTGATCCTACAGTTTAAGCCTGCGAGGAAGTGAGAATCAGCCACAGGCCCCTGCAAAGGGTCAGCGGACCTTGTTCCCACATTGTCTCTATTTGAAAAAGTGAGATACATTTCACTTCGCATAAAATGTACAATTAAATTGTCTTATTGTGTTTACAGAATTATGCATCTATCACCATCATCTAATTTTAAAACATTTTCATCATCCCACAAAAAAACCCTCACAATTAGCAGCTGCTCTTCACCTTTTCTCCCCAGCACTGGTCACTGCTAAAGACTTTCTGTAAATAGCACGCAGTTAAAGACCTAAGAAACTCAGTGATGCCAGGCAGGTAGGTTTTTTACGTGCCCAAACATGTAATGATAAATTCCTGAAGCCAAAGATAAAGACACAATTATGAAAGTGGACAGAAAGCTTTAGAAGATGCACAGAAAACCAACCCTTCAAACAATGAGAGGTATTTTATGAGTATACATCGAGACCAAAAGGCAGTGTTGTCTTCTTACAATGTCAAAAGAAAGAATGAAAGAAATGTTGAGTCCTAATGCTATATCCAGGTAAAGATTTTCTTTTTCTTAAAAAAGGTAAAAAAATAAGACTTTGTCAGATGAAGAAAACCTGAAAGAATTCATCAAAAAAAAAAAAAATCGAAACAAATCAACTCTAAAGCAAAATTTTCAGGTGGAAGACAAATGATAATGGAGAGACACATTGAACCTGAAAAATGCAGGAAGAATAACCATAAATATAGTAGTAAAAGACCAAGTTTTTAGCTCTTCAGTTCTGGAAAACATGCATATCAAAAGCTAAGTTGTAGCATCTCTGGTATAATTTCTACTTATGAAAAATATAATATATACATATATATGACAACTTCAACCCAAAGAGGGGACTGTAAGGGGTCTACGTGACTGGGAAAATATTAGTCCTGTTATTATATCTAAATAGATCATGAATAGTTATGTGTACATGTTGTAATCTTTACAGCAACCAATGTAAAACTGTACAGAGATACCAACATAAAATCAATATAAAAATCAAAAGACCCCACTAAATAGTACTCAAAGAATCCAAAAGTAGCAGAAACAGAGTGGAGAGGAACAAAAATTATAGAGAAAAAGGAAACTTATACTAAAATTGTAACCTTAAATCCAACCATGTGAATAATTTCATTAAATGTAAATGAACTAATCACATATATTAAACACAGTTTGTCACATTGAGAAAAATAAAAAACAATAAACAACCATGTGATTCTACAATAAACTCTAAATAGAAGTATATACACAAAAGTAAAATGATAACACACATAAACACCTAGTTAAAATGGCATAAAGCATTACTTCAACGTTAATTGCATCATTCTGATTTTGTATATTGCGTACTGTGTTGTAAGACGTCACTCTTGGGGAAAACTGGGTGAAGTGTAACTAAACCTTTATCACATATTTTTCACCTTAACACGTGTCTGTAATTATGTTTACAGAAAACATTAAATGAAAGTGAAAGGATGGAAAAGTTTCGTAGTGTAATCCTGAATTAATAACATAAACATGCAAGGTGGATATTTCTTTCCGTTTCTTTTTTGTTGTTGTTGTTGTTTGAGACAGAGTCTCACTCTGTCGCCCAGGCGGGAGTGCAGTGGCACAGTCTTGGCTCACTGCAACCTCTGCCTCCCAGATTCAAGCGATTCTCCTGCCTCAGCCTCCCGAGTAGCTGGGATTACAGGTGCCCGCCACCACACCGAGCTAATTTTTTTTATTTTCAGTAGAGATGGGGTTTTGCCATGTGGGCGAGGCTGGTCTCGAACTTCTGACCTCAGGTGATGTGTTCACCTCGGCCTCCCAAAGTGCTGGAATTACAGGTGTAAGCCTCAACGCCTGGCCTTTACTGTTTTGTTTTGTTTTTGACACAATGTCTCACACTGTTGCCCGGGCTGGAGTGCAGTGGTGCAACCACGGCTCACTGCAGCCTCAAACTCCCAGGCTCAAGCCATCCTCCCACCTCAGCTTCACAAGTAGCTAAGCCTATGGGCAAGCACCACCATGTCTGGCTCATTTTATTTATTTTTTGTAGAGACAAGGCCTCACTCTCTTGCCCAGGCTGGTCTGGAACTACTGGGCTCAACTGATCCTCCTGCTTTGGCCTCCCAGATGGCAGGAATTACAGGCATAAGCCACCACACCTGGCCCAGTATAGATAATTCATGAGTAAAAAATGTAATAGTTGAAAAATAGATTAGATGTGTTCTTATTATTTCCACATAGCAGAGTACTAACTATAGGACATTGGGACATACTTGTGAATAAGAAATGAAGGTTTTAAAAAAGATAAAATAAAAAAAAATAAGTGCCTAAAACCGACTGGTGAGAGGTTTACCCAATGCATGAGCAGTAGAAAGAATTTAAGTTTTTGCACCCAGGATACTAAAAAGCGGAAAGGTAGATTTCTTTTTTTTCCTGTTTTACTTTTTTTGGGTTGCTCTATTTGATCTAATTAAAAAGCCTATTTTAATGCTGATGGAAGACAAGTCTTCTCTAATTTAGTCCCAATGAGATTGTCTCCTCTGGGCCAAAAATGCTCATCTAGAACTTGGAATTTCGATAAATCCATTCTGAGGTGAGGAGCAGCAGCACCAGAAAAGTTGATCCAGGCCATCTAGGACCCTCCAGGGAAGGGCTCAGGCCTGTCACAGAGGCCTGATAGGAACTGGGGCCCTGCAGTCAGTCTGGGACATTGCAGCTCTCCTGACACGGTCCCAGCAGCTGGGAAAACACTCGGGGTCTCCCTAGGGTTTGATCAAATGGCAAGTTCCCTATTCCCTGATTGGCCCAAAGCTTTGACCTGCTAGGACCCGGGGCCTATCAAAGGCCAGGTGTCCTCTCCCCATTGGAAACCTCCCCAGGCTCAGCTCAGCTCTTCACATTCTCCTGCTGGCCTGGGAGCATCCAGGCCAAGGGGTGAGGCGGGGACAGCCCTACATTAAGTTTTTATTTCAAGGTAGAAAATCTGTCCCCTTGATTGTTTGGGAAACTCTAAAAAGACTAGGGCAGCTCAGAGTGTAAAATAGAGCTTCAGGGAGTATAGAGTCAGAGCGCAGAAACTTCTATTCCATTTACTGTCTAGCAACTTACCTAATATCAAAACCTATGGTTATGCTATGTTTACAAATATGCGTGCACATCTATGAATATGTGCTCATAAGAACATGCACATGCACCATTACGTTTAAACATGTATGCGTGTACACACCAACTGATGTAAAAATCACTGTTTCATGTACTCAATTTTCCTTTGCGTTTACCCTCTTTTCTCCACTTTTTAAAATACTTATTTATTTCTAATTTGGGGGACTACTAACTGAGATTATTTTCCATCTCACTGAAAAAACAGCTTTAGAATTTCCTTTAGAGGAGTTCTGCTGGTGGCAGATTCCATTGGGTTTTGTCTGAAAAGTAGCCATTTTCCTCTATTTTTTCTGTTTATTATATAGAAAGATAACTTATGTAAAGTAAAATGGACAGGTCTTAATTATACAGTTTGATGTGTTTTTACAAATGCAGATGCTCACGTAGCCAACAGTCCAATCCATTCTCACAGCATCGCCATTACTGCAGGATGGAGACATTCTGTCCCTGTCAACGTAAATTATCCCATCATAGCTCCCAAATACAACGTGTATGAGAGACGCCTGTCTCCTGAGGACTTCTCACAAAGTGGGGTGTCCTGTGTGTCCTGTTCCCACTGAAGAGGGCTAAATAGAAACCTAAAGTCTGAAATAAAATAGGAGGCTACCCTGACGAGGGGTCTCGCTTTGCCCTTGGACAGAGAGCAGGCAGTGGTCAAGGCCCTGGTCGGGGCAGAAGCCTCTGTCAGGACCCCCTGGCATCTGGTCACAGACACGATGGACCTGGGCCTAGGCAGAAGGGGGTGCTGCTGGTCTGCTGCGGAGGACTCTGTGGGGTTGTCAGCTGGGAAACCAGACACTGGAACTTGATCTCCACGCAGGGTTCACTGGGCCAGCAGCTGGGCCCTCTCTGGGCCCTTGGAGAGCCTCAGGCCAGGCCCGGCCCAGTAACCCCTCCCAGAAATGTCACCCCACCACTGGGACTGACACTCAGGCGCAGGGAGTGATTTGGTTGGGCAGAGGAAGAGGAGGACATTTGCATGAAGGGCCCCCCCTTCCTCCTCTGGGACTACAGGGTGGGTAAGAAACACCTGTATCTGTCAGCCTTAGCAGAGCTCTGGGGAGTCTGCACCGTGGCCTGGACCCCACTCCTCCTCCTCACCTTGGGACACAAGCACCAAGGCTGAGGCCGTGCTGCAGGCCAGTGGGCAGGTGGGAGAGAGACCTGCTGCCCATCCAGCAATAGGGCTTCTCTGTGCAGCCCCCGCTTCTTGGGCAAGTCAGCTGATTAACTTTGGTTTTCATTTGTTGAGTAAAAATTTAGATTTTACAACTCACTCCAGTGAACACAGTGTGGAGAGTGTGTTCCTGTCCTCTCAATTCTACCCTCACATCCAACCCTTGGCAGTACCATATCATTGTATTGTCTCATATTAAGAGAAATTCCTCCATACCAAGATCAGGCTGTCCTGGAAACCAAGTCCGTAATGGGTCAAAACAGGACCAGGGTCATCGTGTCTGACTCAGGACAGTCGACTCCCAAAGGTCTGTTTATCCACCCCATTCACTGAGAACCTACTATGTGCCAGGCTCACATCCAGGGGTTCAAGGCACATAATGAAGAAGAGAGGAAGGGACCCTGTCCTCATGGAGCTGACACCGGGTGGTAGAAGAGATAAGGCAATCAAGTAAAAATGTCAATGCAACAATATGATGTCACCACGTAGTGAGGAGAGGAGAGCTCAGTTGGGGGTTGAGGAGCCATCAGAAGGTTGGGCAAGGAAGACACAGGATCTGACTCAAGTTTATGAAGAAAAGTCCAGATGCCTCAGAGAAGATGAACAGGGAAACAGGAAGCGTGAGGGCCATGGGGCCAGCTGGGGTCATTCG